AAGGGAGGAGGAGAGAGAAACTCTGAAAAGAACCAGCATCCCAAAAACAGGGGAGTAGCATTTCTCATAGTTGCCTCATATAGCTGAAACTATGGGACGTCATGGTAAACTGTACTATGATTCTTGTGGGCTGACCTTGCTTTTAACTTTGTTTTGTTTACCTCACCCAGTTATCCTTTCTCCAATCAAATCATGTCAGTCATGTTAAGCTATTGGGATGACTGTGTGCTTTGAATGAATTAAGAAAGTTTAAGACAATCAGGTTACTAATGCTACATGTAAGAAGGAGTATTAAGATACAAGTATTATTTGATAATTGAAGTTAACATGATTGCTTTCCTGTTTCAGGAATACAGGTCTGATAAGTCAGTGGAAGCTATCAAGAAACTGGTTCCTCCAGGGTGTCACTGGTAAAAAATGTATTTTTTTTTGTATCAAATATTGACAGATGTAACCATGAAATATGTTATTAATACATAACCTGTTAATAATGTTTAGGGATGTTAGGAGGTCATCCGCAGAGAAAGTAGGGTTTTTTTTTGTCATCTAGAAAAGAGAATTCCATAATTTTCCCTATAGAGCTTTATAGCTCATATGTACTGTAATTGGTTTAAGCTCTGTGTGGGTTAGAACCTTTTTAATAGTTGTTGTTAAACTGCAATGAACATCACCTATGAAGATCATCCCATTAGTGTTTGATTTTATGTAGCAAATAAAATTACCATGCATCATTCGTACTTTATTCTTTTTAACACAGCATCAGGGAAGGAAAAGTAGCAGACTTTCTAGCTCGAAGTCTGGTCCCAGGGGATCTAGTTACCATATCAGTAGGAGATAGAGTTCCAGCAGATTTAAGGCTAGTAGAGGTATGTTGCCTGTGTTATAAAGAGGTTATTAATGACATTAATTAAGGATGCTGTTTGGCATTTGTTGAACTTCAGCCATTTATACAGTTAACTCAGTCTTTAACTCCCATGAGTGGCCAAGACAGATTTTTTTTCCTTGCAATATCAAGTGGAACAGTCAGGAGAATGAAGGAAAATATCATTGAAGGGATTTTATCAGTTGATCCAAAAGAAAATTCTCCAAACTCACTTCTTTAGCATAGTGGTTTAACCCAGCCTTTAACTCCCAAGATCTGATTGTTAATTCTCTCCTCAAGCTGCAACACATTTCCTTGTTAGTTACTTACTAGACTTTGGTGTTAAATCAAGAGAAAAATTTTTAACAAATAAGTTTGAGTATTGTCATGAACTGTTTGCCAGATAAGGTATGGATAGTGTAGGAAGAAGTTGCGTGTTAATCATCTCTGGGAAGTAAAGGGTTACTGGTGAAGGGAAATATTTTAATTTAATGCTTTTGAGCTAGACATTTTTACCAGAGTGCCGATTTAAGTTTTGCACAAAATGTGGATAAGATAAGGGGTCATTTTTCTCATTTGCTGAACTTGCTGTAAATAGCATTCTCTAAATCATCAGTTAAATCGTCAGTACTGGATTAATTATCACAATAAAAAATTAGGTATCTGTGATATGTTATTTAAAAATAGCCAATATTTTTGATAATCACATAACTGTTCACAGTGGTAAAAGAGTCCAACTGGTTTTCAGTGTTTAAAGAAGCATGATGCATTTAAGCATTAATGACATTGATTTTTGTCCTTTGATTTTCAGGCTATAGATTTAAAAATAGATGAATCAAGTTTTACTGGGGAAACTGAACCAGCATGTAAAACATCTGAGGAAGTTCCCCCTTCCAAATCCAGTGGAGGTGTCTCTGAAAGAAGAAATATTGCTTTTATGGGTACTCTAGTTCGCTGTGGACGTGGCAAGGTGTGTATTTAGTTGTAACTGAACATTGCTGGCTCTATTTTCTTGAGACTGCAAAATAAACTCACAGGAAATCAACCTGGAAATAAACAGTTGTTTGGCCAATCAAAATGAAAAGTAGGAGTTTTTTACTTTAAGGAGACGCACTTTATTCTAATCATGAACAGTGCCTTTTGTCATGATGTATTGGATAATTTTTTGATATCTAGTTATCATTTGCTGACCAGAGGCAATCATCTATTCTTTTCCCCTTAGGGCATTGTCACGGGGACTGGAGAAAATTCAGAGTTTGGTGAAGTGTTTAAAATGATGAAAGCAGAGGAGGTTAGTAACAAAAATAGAGTCAAAAAGAGTTGATGAAATATTGGTAAATTAAGATTCATTGTGTTGTGTCTTAATCTTTTTCACAGTTTAAAGATGCTAGGTGTACACTGTAAAGAAATTAAAGTGGGTAATTCACTTTAATTTGCTTATTTTCAGCCACCAAAGACCCCTCTTCAAAAAAGCATGGATATCTTAGGGAAACAGTTATCTTTTTACTCTATTTGTATCATAGGTGAGTGTGTTCCTCTTGAGTTCTTCGTGATTATGCTTAAAGATTAAAAATGTTTACCTTTAGCAATGTATTTTGAACTGTTTTGGTCAGATTCTCACTTAAGCATCAAAGCTCAAGACCTTTCTTTTTAGTCGAGCTTCCAATTATTATTTCCTGGTTAATCTAGTACATATTGTAAAGTGCTCCGAACTCTAGAGTGAGCACTATAGAAATCCTATTTATTATTATTATATTATTATTTGCAGTTTCATATACCAACTAATGTGTTTTTGTCTTGTTTCCAAAGCTCTTATTATTCTTTTGGGGTGGCTGCAACACAGAGCCATTTTAGAGATGTTTACTATTGGTGTCAGGTCAGTTCTGATTGCTTTTGTTGGTGCAAAAATTTATTGGAAAAACATTTCTCTTTCCGTTCAAGATTGGCAAAGTTTTGTGCATTATATGGTATAGACTTCCATCCCATCTACTCTTTACACATTTTGTATGAAAATTGGTGGCTGCTTGATCAGTCAGCATGATTTACTTGAAATTATTACTTCTGATCAACAAAAAGTTTTGAGGTTCCCTGATAGATATGAATCATCTATTTAAACAAACCTGAGATCAGCTCTTTTGAACCCACTGAGAAAGCTTTCAAAAAATCTTTCTCCTGAAGTTTGTGTCCTACACAATCATGCACTTCTTGTTCAAAAGGAAATATCTAGTAATCGAATTTAAACTGAAAGTTGATAATAAATAAGTGCTTTGCCTACTTGATGACAGAAATAATTATAAGCCCCTCATTTAAAATGAAATAAGCTGATAGTGATAATGATAATTCTTGATTACATTATTTCAATTTTTTTCTTTTTTCCACAGCTTGGCTGTAGCTGCCATCCCAGAAGGTCTCCCCATTGTAGTAACTGTTACTCTTGCTCTTGGTGTGATGAGAATGGCAAGAAGAAATGCCATTGTAAAAAAGCTACCAATTGTGGAGACTCTTGGATGTGCTAGTGTTATTTGCTCTGACAAGACTGGTACTCTGACCAAGAATGAGATGACAGTAACACAGATATTTACTGCTGATGGACACTATGCAGAGGTTAGCTTAAGGGGCATTTAGATGAGACAAATGCATTTTAGAGGAAATAGTGTTGGCTATATACATCAAATAAGGAAATGTGTAAAATACTCCCTTGAAATAAAACTTGTTTCTGCTGATTTACCTTAAACTGTCAAAAATTTCATTGGGAAGTGTCCCTGGTCAAGAATGGGCATGTTTTAAAGTCTTCCATTCTTTATTGCACAGTTTCAATAGTAAAATTTTTGAGAAAGATTACTAAGTTGATGGAAATTTATCCACTTGAGATGAAATTTATTCTTTTCAGGTATTTGCTGACTCACATTTACAAATACTCCTCAGTTGCTTTGATTCCCCAGTTAGTTAGATATCATAGTACTGTTGCAGTATTACAGAAAAGTTTTCCATTTAAACCTCCTTTCATCCTAATCTTTCTTCAGCTTTAATTTTATTACTACTTAGTTGTGAATGTTACTGGAATAATCTTCCATATTATGAGCTCCTTCTATACTTCTGTGAAATTATGGCGGGACAAATTCTAAGTACAGATCTTTGCACTTCCCTAGAGAGATCACTAGGAAATTTTGCATAAAATCTTTATTTGTCTTCTCTACAGGTGTCTGGAGTAGGATACAATGGGTGTGGTCACGTAAGCATTTCAGGCCATAATCTGACACCAAACACCAACTTATCCGTTACAAAAGTAGTTGAGGTAAGAACTGATTAGTCACTGTAACCTGTTCCAGGCTCTCAGCTAGGGGAGATGGGTGAAAAATGGATGTTCAAGCAATAGTTTTCAATAGATGGCTGGGAACACTGAGAAAAATGTTACATTATAATTAACTTGATTAAAGCAAACAACCTGTATTAAGTACACATAGTGGAAGGTGATATTGCCCCCTTACATAGTCGCCCCAAGGTCCATCGCCCCAAAGAATTGTTAAATTTGGAACCCTACTCAAATTTGGTTAATAGTTGGGGGCAATGCTACCATACTTAAGGTGCGTGGATTGTCACTTGGGGGTGACAGAACTTGAGGCAAACTTGGCAAGGAGGCAAGGTCACCTGTTATTGTGCACTCTAGAAAGTTTTCCAAGGATGACATCTTTGTTCATGTTTTGTTGTCAGTAGTGCTGAGCTTGTCTGTTTTTCCAAGGTTGGTTATATTTGTAACAATGCTCAAATTCAAGATGGATCCCTTTTTGGCCAGCCAACAGAGGGAGCCCTCATAGCAGTAGGGCAAAAGGTATTTCTGACAATTTTATTTTAATTAAAGCTTGACATGTTGCAGCATTTGCTACACAAAACGGTGTTGTCCCATATTGAGATAACATGAAGCTTTTTCAGTATGTGTTCAAATTCAGTGATGTGCATATCTTGTTTTCTGAACAGCTTGGTATTGATGACCCAAGAGGAATGAACTTACGCACAGCTGAAATTCCCTTTAGCTCAGAGAAAAAGTGGATGGCCGTCAGATACAGGCAAAAGGTAAGTAGAGGAGAAAAGATCTGACAACAAATTGTCATAATATTTTGACATGACTTAATGACCAACAGGTTGATAATGTCCAAAAGACTCTACCCAATAATTGCAAATCCCTTGCAGGACAATTCAGAAATGTATTACATGAAAGGAGCACCTGAGAGAGTGTTGCAGCAATGCACATCATACCATGGACAAGGTTCTGTTGTTCCTCTGACAACGAGAGATCTGGAGATGTTTAACGACGCTGTGTCCGCTATGTCATCCAGAGGATTAAGAGGTACCCATCTCGTTTCCTAGTTGTGATTTTAATCCTTGTTCTATCGTACATTTTAACTGCTAAAACTGTTGCAGAAAAGAATTCCTTACTGTGTTCCCAGCTCTACAGAGATCCAGCTTCTGATTGGCTCATAGAGCTACTTTAAAAATAGTGCATCATGGAAGTTTCAGCCTAAAAATTTTCAACTTTGTAATTTGCGATCTGTGTTCATTTTCTCTATCCTTAACCATACTTGTTCCTTCTTGGTTTGTCATTGCCTTGCCAGTGTTTTTCTATTTTACCGAACTAATTTTTTGTTTTTATTTACAATCCAAGTCGATCTTCTTCATTCTAAGCCATCCTTGCTTTAGAGCAGTTTTCAATTGAGTATTGAAATTGATCCTGGCTTACTTTGGTTTTACTTTGCTTTGCTCTGTGATTGGTCTAGAAAACTCGCGCCACCACCTCAACCAATCGGATGCAAAATTAAAACCTCTCACCTTGGTCACTAGCGTTTTCCCGCGCTTCAGCAGGTTGCCTGTTTTTACTTGTAGTTCTCATATTTGGTCAATGATGATGCTAACCTTTGTTCTGATCGGTTATTACTTTGGTTTTGGTTTTTAACACTCACTTGCAAACTGCTCCACTATCAGCTCTTTTGTGTCTTTCTTTCCTAGTAAGCTAATATTTTCTAGTCATTTACAATCCGAAGTAATTTTCTCTGTCCATATCCATACTTGTTACCTTCCAACCATTTCATTCTTGCTTCGTAACTGTTTTCCCTTGGAATCAATCTTTGAAAAAGTTCCTTTCCAAATAACTAAAATTCTGAAAGATGAAGAAGTCAATGTACCATATGGCAGCTTCATGAATATAAAGATATTTCCCAAATATACTCTGTAAATTCATATTTTGGAGCTATGGTCAGACTATTAGACAGAGCTTAAAAAGTTTACTGTTTAAGGGAAGATAGTTGTTTACTGTCTCCATTACTGGGAAACTTTTTTAAATATGTGTGTCCACCAAATTGCTTCGACCTTGCTCCAACTGTTGTGTCAACTTTTCATTTTAGCTTTAAAATTTCCTAGAATGAGACTAGCTGCTGCCTTAGTTTTTGTTTATTGATTTATCTACATGTTTATTTTCAGTCATAGCCCTGGCTATGGGAACTGATTTACAACAGCTGTCATTCCTGGGTATCATGGGTCTGTTGGACCCTCCCAGACCAGGAGTTCGTGAAGCTGTACATACGCTGTTAGAGAGTGGAGTACAGGTTAAAATGCTGACAGGAGATGCGCGGGAAACTGCACTTACTATAGGTAACTTTATGTACAGCAATCTTCAGTTGAGTCTCCACCTGGCTCTGTGGTTGATTCAGAAAGTTCGCGCCACATCGTTAACCAATCAAGTGCAAATGCAGTTGAAGCTTGTCACTTGTATTTTCCCGCTCTTGGCGCATTGTGTCTTTTTTTAGTTCTCATTGGCTCCTTGTGATAATCTCGTTTGCGTTGCCGTTGTATTTACTAGGGCTTTGTTTTTCTTTTTTATTTTCACTCGAAATGCGATCTCAATAAAAACACGTTTCAATAATTTCCTTGAGATACCTGATGCTGTCATCAGGTAGCCTCAGCAGGGGGGAAGCTCTTCACCAGCGTTTCTTTTCCCGCGGGAAAGTATGGGGCCTTAAGCAACGCGAGCCGGTGAGGAGTGTGTAAGGGGTCCACTGGTGCTAGACCCCCGGCAAACGTTCACCGCCTCTTCTTCAATCTTCCTGCGGACGGAGAAACGTGCGTCTGTAGTGCTAACAATGATGGCAGGCTAATGAACAAGCGATTGTTGCGGCGTGCTTCTTCTTCAACGCTTTGACATGCAGGAGTGACCGATATGGAACTTCTCCTTGCTATTGCCTGATTGTTATACTTTAAACGGGTTAAGAGAATAGACAAGACAAGCTTATCAGCTGAAGTGTGTACTCGTGCTATTACACCAAACTCTCCTAGCTAATTTACAAGGAAATTTGAGGCAGTCAGAGGGAAGAATGTCATTGGATCCTGAGAATGAAAAGGTTAACATTTTCTTTTCCCTTTCACGTTACTTTCAGCGGAATTATTAGGAATTCATGTTAAAGGAAGGTTAACGCTTTCGGGTGAGGAGCTACAAACGATGGATAGTTTACAATTGGGAGACGCCATACAACAGGTAAAGTCAAGTGGTTCTACATGTCCTGCTGTTTGGTTCTATCAGTCTCGTTTCACTAACCAAGTATATCCTTAGGTCTTCGTGGAACCTTAGTGCGAGTTTTTGATTCTGTTATATTGATTCCCCTCAACAGGCATCCGTGTTTTACAGAGTCAGTCCCAGACATAAAGTTGCCATTGTTAAGGTAAGTTATATAATGATTTGTAGATTCTTTGATCCTTCAACCCGCGTCCCCGTAAGTCATGGTGATTTCTGCATCATTGAGAATGCTTCATGTACGCGCGACATTTAGTGGCAGTTGGGAAAAAATTGTAGATCTGTGAAATCAGTGGCGACACGTAAAATGCCTGGTTCTCACTGGACAAGACTACGGGCGCTCAGGCTTAAGAGAAATTTTCAATTGCGTGTCGAAAGTAAACCATTTTTTACCGTGGTTTGACTCTGCTACGTTGTGATTGGCTTAGAAAACTAGCACCACCCTCTCAAGTAATCAGTGACGATTAACTTTTACTTACATGGAGTTTCCTTTGACCCTTTGTGACGCTTGCATTTTGTCCGATTTGTCCTTGCGATTACTTTCGTTTCGGCTTTGTGGCTCTTAGTTTATAAGCGCCTAATTCTAGTGTAGTCCTTCTTGTAACAAATTACCCATGTTTCCTCGTAGGCCCTACAGCAGCGTGATCATGTGGTGGCTATGACTGGTGACGGCGTAAATGACGCAGTAGCTCTGCGCCGAGCTGACATTGGAGTAGCCATGGGCCGAGCAGGGACTGACGTGAGCAAGGAAGCGTCAGACATGGTGTTAGTGAATGATGATTTCTCTACCATCCTGGCTGCTATTGAGGAAGGGAAAGGAATATTTTACAACATACGCAACTTTGTCCGCTTCCAGCTAAGCACGTAAGTACGATTTACGTATCAGTGACTTTGTGTGCCGTTACAGATCATGTGACTCGATGGATGCTTTTCTTTGAAGTTATTCTTATTCTTCCCTGTGTGCACCTTTGATTTCATACTTAGAAAGTATCAAAGTACTGAGTTTTTTCACATTATTTGAAATAGGCAATTAATATACGGCACGAAGTCCTATCAGGAACTGCCTTCTAAGGTTTGCCTCAAATTCGGTAAGCTCGCTCCCAGAGTCTCTCTTGTTCCCGCTCATTGACCCTGGAAACAGAGTTGCATATCTGAGTGAATCTTCCTCGGCTTGGAAAAAAAAAAGGTTGAAGAACACGTCAGTACAACTGCATTCAGTTGAAATCATCTCAATGTTATAAAATTTTTTCCCATGTGTAGGAGCATTGCAGCGATCTCGTTGATAACAATATCGACGTTTCTCAAGTTACCTAATCCTCTAAATGCCATGCAGATTTTATGGATTAACATCATAATGGATGGTCCACCCGCTCAGAGGTGAGGAATCTGAATTTCTCCGTTGCTGTACTCTGACTGCAACTTAGCGCCGTACTCAATCTTTGAGCACGATTTGTAATATACCTAAATGCAGGTGTTTCAATAGAAGTCGGTTATTGGCGGGTTACCGCCGCCTCTAAGTACCGCTGTCCTTTGCGAGCAGGCTTTCATATTTGGGTCTCGCCTTACGGCCTCTTTACTGGCCTCGTGCCGCCTATTACACTATCGCAGCCGCGATTGGAAAAGTTATTGAAACCCCTTTCAATGGAGAGCAAGTTACCTTGCTAAAATCTTCCGCTCGTCTTCGTGCTAACAAGGTCTTATTCCGTTGTTTGTAGTCTTGGCGTGGAGCCGGTTGATCGTGACGTCATGAATAAGCCCCCACGAAATGTCAAGAACCCAATGATTACCAAGACTTTGATAACGAACGTTCTCCTCTCTGCGAGCCTGATAGTGACTGGTACATTGTGGGTATTTTGGAGAGAGGTATTTGAACAAGCTATCTCGATGAATCTTGATAAAGTACCAAATTCTTTTGACTAGTTCGCAAAGAAATGTATATTAGTTTCAAGGGAGAATTAGTATTCAGATCCTGGGAGTTAAAAGATAAGGTGCTGTCCGTTAGGTGTAAAATGTACTAATGTTTTGCACAAGTTAGTTTAAGTCGTCACTTGTGGGAAAAGCTCTAAAACTCTCAAGAACGTTGCTAGTAAGAACTAGGAAAAATCAATGTTATTTCCCCTGAAATTCAGCTTCAGTGAAAGCAAAACTTAAAACTCTGAACCTCTCCATAATGTGAATTTTTGTGACTTGAAAATGGAGTAAGTAAGCTCCAAGATCTGTTCCACCAAATTCTTTTGGTGTATCGGTGGCCGCACGAAAACATCTGGTTTAATTTGGTAGAAAAAGCGGCCGTTGTAGAATGGTTTTGATGCCACTTTTCTGCGGTTGAGAATATCGCCTTCCAGTAGAGAGAACTGGCTGTTTCTGCTTTTGGACACTGTTGATTCTAGTTCAGATCAATCTGTTCTGTTGTAGATGAGAGATAACGTCATCACTCCACGTGATACCACCATGACATTCACGTGCTTTGTGTTCTTTGACATGTTCAACGCGCTCAGCTGTCGTTCACAGGTTAGTACTTCGTTTGCCATTAATGTTCTTGCCAATTGTTAATAGTTTCACGCTCAAATTCAACATATAAGCTAAGCCTGTAAAAGCTTCCCTGGCGGCAGATTAGGGTTATCGGATTTTACTCCATATTCCAAATATTCAGACTCTCCTGGATCTAATCCCGCACACGTCTTACCGTGCTTTCCGGAAGTAGATCAAGTAAATCGACCATTGATGAACCGTTTTAGGAGGGCCTGACAGATTTCGCACTCAAACGAACAACTTCTGAAATAGGCGGAAGTTTTAGGGGGCCAAATGTTGCAGAAGGTAGCTCAAACAATAGCAATTTTTTTTTTTTTTTTTTTTTTTTTT